ACCATTCTATGATTCTATGAAGGGAGAGTAAATAATAACACGAATAAAGGAATATACAAAACCAAGTGAGAGTAAATAATAACACCAATAAAGGAATATACAAAACCAAGTGATACAGAGTGCAACAATTGCTTACCATCTAGTGATCAATAGCATGTCCCCAAGAACCACTCCCCCCACACCCTGGCCAACCCCCTCAGCTTATACACTGAACATGATTCCTTATTGCAAGAAATGTCCCTTTGGTCAGTTTGGGTCAGCTGTCCTGGCTGTGTCTCCCCCAGCCTCTCGTAGGGAAGAAGCTGGGAACAGAGGGGCAGTATCAGAAACTGAAAAAGTCTGTGGCTTTGTGTAAACATGGCTTAGCAACAGATGAAACATCAGTGTTAGATTCTTCTCAGCACAAATACAAAACATAGCCTCATATTAGCTGCCTTGAAAATTAACTCTATCCCATCCAAAACCAGAACATGCAACAAAAATAGGATTTGGAATTTACTTCTGCAGCCAACTTGTGCATTCCATTATTGCACTTCTGATCCTTATAGGGCTGATTAGCTTGGATGCAGCACTGAACCAAGCTGATTTTGTGATAACACACACAAAATACTAGAGTTACCAAGTACTGGAATTGAGAGAATTGAAACTGTGGTTGTGTGGAACCTTTGAGGAGCATGTGTAGGGCTGCTGTATAGGAGGGTAGGTGGTACAGTAAGAACTGGTGATATTCACTACACAGCTAAGGTCGGTCAGGTGGGGTTTGTCAGCTTGGCTTCTGGGTCGCACAGAAGTGATAAAACTGTCTCAGCGTCAGCCTGATCCTCTGTGATAACTGATGTTGTGGCTGTTCTGGGCCACAAGTACATTGCAATGTGGGGAAAGGGAGGCAGTTACATGGATAGTATTTAGAAAGGAATGGTTTGCATTTCAGTAACACCAGGGTCACTTCTCTCTAAGTGAATTTTACACCAGACTTTGTCATACATGTGTTTCTTTGAAAATTGTTGTATTTACTGGAGCCAAGCCACTTTGAGAAGTTCTACTGGCTTTTTTCAATCCATATTTGTCTCACGTTTCAGTCCTTGAATCCATACTGCAATCCTCCCTGCATCATAAAATAGCATTTCAACATTTTCAAGTTTCTTCTGAACATTCTTCTGAAGGGTTTTTTTTTTATCTTTAACCATATTCTTTCCATATTTACTCTTCACCTTGGTGTACTGAACTGTCCCAATTTGTGCAATTTTTCTGTGCAAACACTTCTTTCAAAAACGGTGACAGTTAGCACAGAGCATATCGCTTGTCTAACGTTCAAAAAAAATAGCTACAAACCAGATTGACAAGAGAGATATTTTTTCCTTTAGCCACTTTTTTTTTTTTTTGTGCCAGTTTCTGGTTTTTTTAAGAGCATCACTGGATTTTAACTAGTTTTTATTTTCCTACCATCTCAGAATTGAAATTTCTTGGGTATTGTAAAAACACTGCGCTCTTCCTTCTGACCTCTGTAATCTAAAAACATTTTTATGTTTTTCTTAGCTCACAGTTTTTGAGTCTTTCTCCCCAATAATGAGTAGTTTTGCCGATTTTTACTCTCTTCCAGCTTCAGAAGTTTGAGAGGCTTCTCAAAGGAGTAGTTCATAACTTGAATTGTAACCTGGTTTTACAGTGTGTGCAAGACTTGCGCTGCCTCAGAGGAAAAAAGAGAGGCAAGCAGAACAGAGATAGCATGAGATTCAGTTTTACAGCTGCCCTCTTACAGTGTCCTGTTTCTACAAAGTGATTGAAATTTGCACTTGTATTTGGTCTTAAATTAGATCTATTTGAGGCCCCTGAACTGTAATTTCCAGGTTATATTCCTGCAACGTACAGCTATTTTACTGTTTGGTGGCTCCAGACTGTACACCCGTTGCCAGTTTGAAATCAGCAACCGTGTGTCTGAGTTTGGTGTATATTTTATGAAGGTTTTTGGAATATTTATTAAATAGGACCTGCCAGGGGATCAGATTTTAATCATACTGGAATGTTAAAACATGCTTGCAGAGCTTAGTTGTCCTGATTTCACGTGTTGAATTGCCTGTATTTTAAATGTTGCATTTGCATACTAATAAATTAAGTGAAATCAAGAATAAAAAATGGCTCTCGTATACAGTTTCTAGGTAATTGTTAAAATTCAGCGTGCTGCAGTTGTTATGTGGAGCAATTACGGTACAGAGGTGTACCCCTTCATTTCTTTCTTGGTATCAGTCCATTCCTAAACACTGATGCATGACGCAGGGTTTAATTGGGTAATTTTCTTGGCAGAGTATGTGTTCACTTCTGCAGTTGCTGTACGGTCAGGACTGTTTGTAATGCATGCAGCGCTGAATTTGAAGGGAACACTGGGGTGCTGCCCAGGCAGGTGAAACCGTCTGATTAGCAGCCAGGTACCACAGCTCCAGCACAGGCAGGCAAACCCATCTGCATGCATGGTGCGCTTTTAGCTGTGATCCTTCCCTTTGTGAAGTAGTGCTGCTGGTGTTCGCTGCTTTTTCATCTAAAACCGATTGTTTGGTTTTAGTAAAGGGTGGTTGTAATACTTAAACAAGTAGTAAACTAGTTTTTGTAAGTGGATGACAGGCTTATATATCCAAGGTCTTTTTTGAGGTAAGGTTTCTGCTTCTCTACCCTATAAAAGTTAGACAAATCAGTTTAATGAATTTGATGTTACAGGATCTTTGCCAATTGAGTTCCAGCAAATTTTATTTTTGGCCACAGAATGCCTGTATTAAGAACTCACTCTCTTAGTATTCAATCTAGTTTATAAAAATCTACCAAAAATAGAATGTACTAAACAGAAATCTGTTACAGAATTGACTAAGACCCACCTGGGAAAAAATTACATCATGGGAAACATGCAGCAACGAGGCTAGATATGTGACTTAGACAAGGTAGCTCTGACAAATGTATGTTTATATATGTTCAATACACCTTTTAATTTCTTTACTTTTATTGAGCTCTTTGTATTTACTTGTAGAAAATCTCTCTGCTCTCTGTCACGTGCTTTTTTCTCTGTGCCATTCTTTCTCTTGCTATCTGCCTGAACCCAGGCCCTAGAGAGACAGAAAGTTTACTTTGACTGCATTAAGAATGAGCGAGATGAGCTCAGAGAGGAGTTGGCTGACCTGAAGGAAGCAATGAAGAGAGGAGAGGTATGTTGGTAGTAGTTACTTTACAGTAACAGACATCCAGGAATGGGGCGTGAAATCAAAGTCGATGAAAAAGAGGAAGAATGGTTGTTATTCTTGGGCAGTCTCAACACCTGACCTTAGGGTAGGATAAATGGTGCATTTTTTAACTGTTTCGGTTAAGTTGCAGAGCTTTTTGAAAACTTTTCTGCCCGGTTATATTTTAGCACTGCTTTTGTACGAGTAGGTTTTTTCTTTTGTATTTCTAGAAACACGGATTAGTTATAATTCCAGATGGCACACCAAATGGTGATGTAAACCATGAATCAGTGGTTGGTGCAATAACAGTTGTATCACAGGAAGCTGCTCAAGTCTTGGAATCTGCAGGAGAAGGACCACTAGGTAAAAATATCCTAACATGTTTTATAGAGTGCCTGAAGTGTTTGTTTGCCTCCTGTTCACAGTGGGTTGTGATTTACAGCCAAAAAAATACCCGTAATGCTTCTAGAATATGTGCTTACACAACTTTCAAGACTGTGATTTGCTTACTTATTATTTTTATGCTGAGTAAAAAGTCAGATGTATCTTTCTGAATTAAAAAACCCCTTATGTGCTTGGTTGTTTGTAATGGATGAGATCTCTCCATCTAGTGTCTGCTTTATTACTGTCAGAAAATACTTTGCCTAAAAGTGGAGTATGTTTACCACTGTGTTTCATGAGGAAAAAAAAAATCTTGAAAAATGAATATAATTAATAATAGAGCTACCATTATAGAAAACCATGCATTGTATATTCTTTGCCCTTCCTTGAAATATTTCTGTTTTTATTTTAGTGTAAAGCAAGTGCAGTCTTTCATCACATTTATTAGGAAATAATGAATGTGTTAGATTGAACAAGTGACTGTGTGCGTAGTCACTCCACTGGAAAACTCAGTTAACATGCAAAGAAACATCTCTGTACACTTGCATTATATTTGTCCATAATACATAATAGTTATGTATTTTTTCTTGTGGCAGAGATTAGACTTGATGCATGTTTCTGCTGTGATTCCATCTCAGTGAAATACTTTGTCTTTGTGCTTTGTTACTGTCAGAGTTAAGAGTTTCCAAGGGAGCCTCTCTAATCTTTGGGGGCTGTTGCTTGACAGACTGTTTTGTAGCCATTATTTATCGCCTGACTGGTTAGAGATACTGAAACGGTCCTGTGGCTCCTTCCCCAAGTACTTTTGTTGTGGTTTGAGAACATTTCTACAAACTTTCTGAACTTACAGGGAAGCTTAGTGCCTTCCCTGAGGAGACAGCAGTCTTTAAGAATAAGAAAGGGAAAGGAGGTATATAATCAGAAGAAAATTTTGCTGGAAATGGCTGTTCTAGATACTGGGACAAAACTGTGTTTTATTATTAAAACCAAAAAATCCTCAGCTTACTTTGGAGAATTACTAAACTCAGAGGTCTTCTAAAATTGTTATACTAATAAACAGTGTGAATTAAATATTTTTCCCATTTTTTTTCCTGCTATTAACTAAAGGCTGCTGTGTTACTATTAGTGAGATATCAAAGCTTTGTGCTTCCAGTGCTATTAGCTTTAAGTCTGAAAATCATTTTAATTTTGGAACGAACATAAGGTTATATAAAATACGTTCTTAGTTATAGATTTCTTTGGTTTTTAATTGGGTTATTTGCTTTTTAGATGTCCGGCTACGAAAACTGGCTGGAGAAAAGGAGGAGTTATTGTCCCAGGTAAAATAAACTATTATTTTCAGAAATAGACCTCTGTATCCTTTTGTAGACTATGAATATATTAGCAATAAACAAATATTAATCATCAAAGGTGCTTAATCAAATACGTAAGCACTAAAGCAGAATAAAATACTCAACTTCTTACCTGACTGGCTACCAGGAATGATCAGCGCCTCTCACTGGTGTCCTTATCCATGTGACTTTGATCTTGGTTGGTAGTGAACCCTCGCTTCAGCGACTGGTTAGCTGAAATCTGACTTTCTGCTGTTAGTGCGCAAACTCAGAGTTGGGTTTTTTTGCCTTATATAGAAATACAGAAGTCGGTAAAATGACATTTTCATAAACTCATGTGGCTTTTCCTTCCATGTATTGCTAAGTGGTACTATTTCTTTGATCATTTCTGCTACTCAAATAGAAAATCCTAGTATTGAATCAAGGCTGTTAACTACGCATATACGTATTTTTATCGTCATATTGTAAAAATCACTGCTAAATATTTGATTTGTATCATGAACGGGAGTTTTGCAAATATAACTCCCATAGGGCTAATCTGTAGGGCGACACTTTGATAAGAGGGTCAAAAAAGGAGCTCCCACTTCTTTAAATTTCCATAAACTCAAAATACAGAGGACATAGCTCCCTGTCTACTGGAAAAATCCCAGGACAGCTCTGTAGCATAAAATGGAACCCTTTAATGTACGCTACAGACTTGGCTAGGACTCCTGCTTCCAGGTGGTGTAAAAGAGAGGACCCCGAAAAAGCTGTGGGTTACTCTTTCTATAAACTCACCATGAGTTCATAATCTTCGTACATGTTTAGAGTGCAAGCGACCTGCTGCAGAAGAAATGCATAATCAGAGTTTAGCGCTGCCACTTCCTCTGGAGAGACAGCTCTGGTATTGTTACTGGGTGCCCCTGCGTTGCACGCAGCACCCTGCAGCACTGACCAGCCTGGTGGGTTGACATGCAGAGGGCACGCACCCAGCAAGGGGAGTGGGGGAATGCTGCCACGCGCCTCAAGGACTGGTTCCTGGCGTGGCTCTGCTCCTCCTGCTTACAGAGCTGTCTCAGCCAGTCGCATCTCTGGACTCTCTGCCTTTTCCCCGTTGAATGTTTAGATCTGCAACTATTGAACTTTTTAACAAAAACGCTTCTTTTTCAGGTTAGAAAACTGAAGATGCAGTTGGAAGAAGAACGACAGAAATATTCTAAAAGTGATGGCATGAATCCAGATATCATAGGCTTAGAGAATGGTTCTGACTTGCAGCTAATTGAAATGCAGAGTAGGTATATGGTTACTGTTCAGAGGTATTCTTACTGGGGACAGGAGACAGACTCTTCCAGCTCCTTTTCCTATATTGGTGTGCAGTGGTAGTATTGTAAATGAATAAATCACGAGTTTTTGTTGGTATATCTCCTTGTTGTAAATTTCTCCCTGCAGACTAGCTTAACAATCTGCCTCTTTCAGTGCTGAATAACAGCATTTTGGGAAGTTATTCTCCAGCTGATCACCTTTCCTAGAATGGGTGCCACTTACTTGAACAAATTCAATTTTTAGATGCAGAATTTCAGCTGAGATAGTTTTAATATATTCTGGGGATTCTTTTTATTTTGTTAAATCTTTGATACAGAAACTTAATCTAAAAGTCTGTTATTCTCTGAAGCAAAACATGAAAAATTATGAAGGTTTAACACAATATTCAGTGTTGCTTTGTAGAAGGATTAAGCTACTTCCCATTTTAAGCAAGTTGTTTTTTTCAGCTGAAAACTTTACTTGTTTGACAGATTGTCATTTAATGTGCTTGTGGCAATGAACATGAACAGAGCACTGGCAATGTCAGGGCTAAAATGTAACAACCAAATAATTTGCAAAAGCTCCTTTGAGCTGTTCAGGTGGGTTCAAGCCTTGTGCTCCGTTTCAATCCGTTATTACAGATGTCTCTGCTAAATGTGGCTTATTGTTATGTCCGTTGTGCTTTGATTCATTTTGTGGTGTGTTGGTCATTGTGTTGATTCTCTTTGTTTGAGACATGAGTTTGGTGGTCTAAATATATGTGTTTAAAAAGGTGTGTATCTTCCAGATCTGAGATTTAATGAACACTGTTACAGAGACAGCAGTTGTGTTCTCTGAGTAACAGGAAAATTACTTCCTTTTCATACTCTCAAAAAAGATTTCTGGAAGGACATTTACCTCTATAATCCTGTATAAGGGCTTCTCAATAAAATGGGCTTTTTAATGAATTAGAATGAAAAGGGAAATTGCCAATTTACAGTGTTGCTTTGAGTAATATATTAATGTCAATCTTTTTCTAGGAGATGCCAACCGACAAATTAGTGAATACAAATTTAAGCTTTCAAAAGCTGAACAAGACATAATGACCATGGAACAAAATGTAAGTGTGTGTGTCTTCACATTTATTGTTATCGTTACACTTGCTCTTCACACTTTCACAATACTTTTATCAACAAGAACTACAAAAACATATTTCATAATTTGATTTACTGTTTGTTCTTTAGTTTGCATAGAATGGCACTACATTTGTATTTTTTCACATTTCCTGCAATTCAGTCCCTGTGCCAAGTCTAACCATAAAAGAAATAATCGTGAGTTAATTTACTAAGATGACAATATACATCAGAATATAAAGAGGAACTGAAGCTACTAGTTCAAAAAAATCAGTTTAGATAGCTTAATTACTTGTAAGAAAGTTGTATATGCCCGTGGAAGGTCCATAAGTTACTTTCTGAAATTCGAGATTTATAGATTTACATTTATATATCTTATCTCACTCTGACTTACTCACTCTGTATGTGTCAGTCAGTAGCATGGTATCATAGAATCACAGAATGGTTTGGGTTGGAAGGGACCTTAAAGATCATCTAGTTCCACCCCCCCTGCCGTGGGCAGGGACCCCTTCCACTAGACCAGGTTGCTCCAAGCCTCCTCCAGCCTGGCCTTGAACACTTCCAGGGATGGGGCATCCACAGCTTCTCTGGGCAACCTGTGCCAGTGCCTCCCCACCCTCTCCGGGAAGAACTTCTTCCTGATATCCAATCTAAACCTCCCCACTTTCAATTTAAATCCGTTACCCCTTGTCCTGTCACTAGAGGCCCTTGTAAAAAGGCCCCCCCCAGCTTCCTTGTAGCCCCTCAGGCACTGGAAGGTGCTATAAGGTCTCCCTGGAGCCTTCTCTTCTCCAGGCTGAACAAGCCCAACTCTCTCAGCCTGTCCCCATAGCAGAGGGGCTCCAGCCCTCGGAGCATCTTTGTGGCCTCCTCTGGATTGACTCCAACTGGTCAATGTCATTTTTATGGTGTGGGCTCCACAGCTGGATGCAGTACTCCAGGTTCTCACAAGAGTGGGGTCTCACAAGAGCACAGTAGAGGGGGACAGTCCCCTCCCTCGACCTGCTGCGCACCCT